TAGAACCAACTCGCTAAGGATACTAAAAGACAAGAGAATTATACTGAGGTAGGGGTGGGTAGAGGGAGAAGAGGGACAGATAAACAACACCTTCAACCTTGTTTTGTTTTTGAGGTAGAGTCTTGCTATGTGCCCAGGTTGATCTCAAACTCCTGGCCTCAAGCAATCTTTCTGTCTCAGCCTCTGGAGTAACTGGTACTATAGGTACATGATTTTTTTTTTTTTTGATCAATCTTACACACTACCCAAAATCATAGTTAATTTTTACTAAAAAGGCAATTTTGCTACTTATAAGAAATGCCTGTTTCTAGTATAGAAGCCCACTTGGGACTAACAACACAAATTATATGTGGAAGGTCCTAAGAGTTCATAGAATTAGAGATGACACCAGAACTGAGCATGGCTTGCTCATGAAAAGAGGAGGACAGAGTGTTCCAAGTAGAGGGAACAGCATGGAGAATAAAAAAATCGTACTCCATGCATGTGCAGGAAGTAATAGTAAGTTTTATATTACTAAAACAGAGATTCTTAACTTGGGTCCATAAACAAGGACTGCAGGCAAATGGCATGTGTGCTTGTGTCATAAAACCCTGAACTTTTATCAGAGTTGTTTAAAGGGCCCAACCAGTGAGAAAGGGGCTTTGCTAAGAATGACTGTGGGTCAAATGCATAGGGATAGGACAGGGAGTATTGAGGAGTACAGGCACAAAATGTCACTGACAGATGAGGATAAGAGGGAATCCTTGAGCTGTAAATCCACATGCATCTTTTGACCTACATGAACATAGTACTTATTCTAAAAATAAATTTAAAGAAAAATAGATAGAAGTTGTCAGAATGAGATGCTTCTTTACAAAAACCTTCCCATGTTTCTCTCCAAACTGCTTCCCAGCTTTTAAATAGCATCTTTGAATTCAGACGATTTTGATGTCAAGGACTCAACACTGGACCAATGACTGACCCCTTGAGAAGGGTCAATCTCTCTGCTGATATGGATAGGTGATAAACATATCAAACTTTATTTGGCATCCTGTAGATGTAAATAGCTATTTACCTGGCTAACTTCAACCAACTTAACAGTTGGCAAAACATCAGAATGAAGAAAGCCTGGTCAAGTAACTCAGGGAACTCAATCTTTTAAATTTCATAGTAAACAGAAGAGACTCAGAGAAGAACAATCTATACCTGATTTATTAAAACAAGGGTAAATCACTAAATCACTGATGTGGAGATCAGAATGGTGATCCAGTGTAGCATGTTAAGCTAGTTTAGGGTAGACATTTGAATAAAAATGACTTTTTAAATTATATAGAAACTCTTGTTTAATCTAATACAGTATATAAGGGAGGTATTCCAGATATAACTGACAAACTGAATGACTTTACCAAGTCCAAATTAGTGATGAGTGGATATAAATTTAGTAAAGAAAATAAGAATTTACGTTCATAAAACTATATAACATTGCTTTCCATTTGGAGATATATATATGTATATATATGTACCCTCTCACCGTTAGAGGTGATATATATATCAGCTCAGATATACTTAAACATGCACTATTTGTTCAAAATACAGAGTGTCCATAAAGTTCGTGTGCAATTTAAAATAGCTCACTATGAAGAAAAATAAAAACAAAATAAAATATCCAACTATTTTAAATTTCATACAAACTTTTTGGACATCCTGTATATATATGTAGCCATTTAAATTTGTTCACAAAAACATACTGTGTCCAGAGATCAATTCTGCAATGTTTTGATTTTATTTGGTTTTATTAATATGTTTCATATTTTGCCTTGTTCTATAAAGGATGTGAGTCAGCTTAAAAATATAATTCAATAAAATGGGAAAATGGAATTAACATCAAAATCAAGAAAAACAAGATACAACAGAAATTCTAGACCAGAGGAGAAGTTAAAACAACCTAGGTTGCAATCATCCAATCCCAGGTTTTTATGTATTAAAATCGAGTTGCAGATTTGACTCTTCATTTCCTAGTTGCCAGGTAGAAATATAATCAGTTATCTGATTCTCAGTTTGTATGACGATGCAAAAAAGACACCCACTTTAATTGTCCAGGGGACATAAAGCTTTTCTTTGGCATCTACAATGGAATTTGTTGCATAGGTCTTCAAATAGGAGCTATAAAAGGGACCACGATCTCAGAGGAAAATAACAGGAGGTTTCTTTTGACTATTTTTAATAATAATGTCCCTCAGTATGAGGACAATGGGGGGGAGGAGACAGCACCCCAAAAATGAGTCATCCAATCCCAGAGGCACTATGCATCTGGATGCAGGACACACACAACAGAAAAATACCTCTTCAATTCTAAGATTAGGAAAGAGCTGTTATTTTACTGTGATGCCAAGGCCCAAAGTAACTAGCACATTGTTAAGTGCTCTTTTGTTTGTCAAATAAACAAGTTAAGTGCTTATAAGAAACAAAGTAAAAAGGTTTACAGTAACCACAGGGGAGGGCTCTTTTGTAAAGTGTAAAGTATAAAATGAGCAAAGAAGACAATGGAAACAAACTCTCAGTAGCCTTCATTACACATTTCAGACCTGCAAAATGTAATTATCTTTATTACATGGGGGAATTTTTGCTCTGTTTTAACAAATAATAACGAATTGGATTTGTTTATAAAAATCCTGACCAATCTAGGGTGAACCCACCTAGCTTAAAGAAGTAATAGTAATAAACTATGATTAACCATATTGTGTGAAAATAAGTCTTTTGAATAATATAAAGTGAGGATGAAGATGTATTAAAAGGACAAAAGAAAATCTGAGACGACCCCCCAAGTAATTTTAAGCAGAGATTGAAAATAAATTAACACTGACTCAAAATTTATGTGACAAGGGTGGCGCCTGTGGCTCAAAGGAGTAGGACGCCGGCCCATATGTCAGAGGTGGCAGGTTCAAACCACCCCCAGCCAAAAAAAAATGTATGTGACAAGAGAACAAAATGAAATCAAAACAGGAAATATCATAAAGCAAAAATAAATCAAATAAAATATGATGGAGTGAACTTGTTTTTTTTTTCTTTCAAAATAACATTTTAAAGAAGACAGACACTGTATCTTCCAAACTCCTCATTTCACAACTATCCTGACTGTCAAACACGGAAACTGATGTGTTTACATACTGAAGAAAACAGTTAAAACTGTGTATACTATAGGTTTTAGATCATTTGGGAATCACAGATACTTCTAAATGTGTAATTTTTACCTTTACCTATAATAAAATGCATTCTAATTAGATGGAACCAGAAAAACTCAACTGTAAAACAAGTTAATATGTCACTTATTAACCAGATCACTGGTCCTTCTGAGTAATTTAGAATTTTCATTTTAAAATGAATTGTACTTTTAAAATTGACAGTTTAATTGAAATAGGTTTGATTACCCAAAGAGGCTGGAAAATTTGCAAGCTTAGACAGGACATGAACTTAGTAGCTGGGGAGGATTACCTCATTTAATAACATTACAGGAGAATACCATATGGTCCTAAAAATGTCACAATTTAAATAAGAATTTTTAAATAACTGAGTTTGCCTATTTATACAAAGACATTTTTAAAATCCAGTTAAATTTCACCAGCCACAGAAAAAACACATTGTGATTCTAAATTGTCCTTTTTATATGAAGCTTGAAACACTTGTTTATTCAGCGGACAAATAACTAATGAGCACCTATGATGCATCAGACGCAGGGATCTCAATGAAAAAAAAAAAAAAAAGATTCTGCCAGGCGCGGTGGCTCACGCCTGCAATCCCAGCACTTGGGAGGCCAAGGTGAGTGGATTGCCTGAGCTCCTGGGTTCGAGACTATCCTGAGCAAGAGCGAGGAGACCTCAGCTCTAAAATAGCTGGGCGTTGTGGCGAGCACCTGTAGTCCGAGCTACTTCGGAGGCTAAGGCAAGAGAATCCTTTGAGCCCAAGAGTTTAAGGTTGCTGTGAGCTACGACGTAACGGCAATCGACCCAGGGCGACAAAGTGAGACTCTGTCTTAAAAAAAAAAAAAAAAAAAGATTTCGTCTTCTTGGAGCTTATATTGATTCATTTCTCCCAATCTCTGAACCCAAATGCGTTAACATAAAATTGGAGTTTACAATAATCCACCCTGCAGAACTCTAAACCTTACTGTTTAAAATAAGAAAGGACAGTTTGGGAAGAGATAATCTTGCCAAAAGCCCTGATGTAGGAATTTTACGCCTGGAGAGAGAAGAAATAATTCATAACCAGTTTCTCAGAAATACACACCAGAGCACTGAGTTGGACGTCAGGCTGAGCCGGAGTCTGCCTCCGCTGGCTGACAAGGGTGCATCCTCGAACTAGAATCTCAACTCCCGGCACCTGTATCAAACTTGCCACACATCCCTTCACATAAACAGGAGCCTCCTAAGGAGGCAGCACAAAAATACTCCAGCCTCATCGATCTCCTGGATAATTTGGCTCCTATTAGAACCTTCTCTCAACAGACCTTAAAATGTGGATGGTAACACTGTCAATTGTATATACCGCGTGGACAGCTCTGAAATATACAAGAATTCACAGCCAACTACTATATGTCGCTAAAAGAAGCTTTCGCCGGTCTATACGTTCTGGCTAGAAGACAGGAAGAACGCACCTGCTAATCCTATCCAAAAACAGCTGTGATAAATTTCCACCTGAGAGCTGCTGGAAAACAAACGGTCTTCTCCCCAAATAAGCCACAGGCTCCCCCACCCTCGCGCCAGCCCGCTCCCCACCGGCCCCCAGGGGGTGGGCGGGGAAAGGTCAAATACCTCCCCCCGCCCGTCCCCGACCCCACAGCTCAAGCGGAGGTTTACAGGTTAACAAGGGGCCGGGTCGAGCGCCATTAGCACACCTCGGAGCGCACCGCCGAACACCGGCGGGAGGCAAGTTTGGCGGGTCCTGGCCCCTGCCCGCGGCCTCTCCCCAGCGACAGCATCAGCTGCCGGCGGCCGCGAGGGCCCGGCCCCGCCTCACCCACCTACCTACAGGGCGGGGACGCCGGCTCCTGGGGTCCGGAAGAAGGAGGTCGGACTCGCGCATTTCTGGGAGCGGTGGCCTCTGCCGCCGGGCGCAGGGGAGCGCATCCTCTCCAGTGGGAGGAAGGAGGGGTCGGGGGAGGACCGCGCGCCGAGGAGGAGCCAGGGGAGGAGGCGGGAGAGCGGGGCGCGCTCCCGCCGACCCCGCGTCCCGAGCCGGGGGGCGCAGTCCCCGCCGGGATCTCTCAGGCCGCTCCCCACCCGCGGTGCCTCGCCGCCCCTGCAGCCCCTCACAGGGTCAGGGCATCGGCCGCGACAGGCACCCGGGCCCGGCCGGAGGCGGGGAACTGAAGGTGGCGCGACACGGTTCGGGCGCCCGCCTCTAGCTCCGCCCGGCCCGCGGCGCGCTGTGCGCCCCTCCGCCGCGGCGGGGGCCGGGGTGCTCGGCGGCGGGGCTCGGCGGCTCCAGCTGCAGCCGCGGCATCCTCCCTGCCCCCGCAACCTCCGAGCAGAGCGGGACCGCCGGGCACCGGAGCCGCCGTCGGCTGCCGCAGCCTCCGCCCTCCGGCCCTGCCCGGGCCCGGCGGCCCCGCCCCGCAGAGCTGCGCGCGCGGCCTCCGCAGGCCTCGGCCCTTTGTGACGCCTCCCGAGCGCGGGCGCGCGGCCGCCCCGCCGCCGGCCTCCCGGACGCGGCACCTGGGAGGGTCGGCTTACCTCGCCCCCCGCCGCATCCCTGGCGCGTGGCCCGCCTCGGCCCCGGCTCTCCGTGAGAAGCAAGGCTTTGCGAGCACAGCTGGAGTGACAGCGCCTCCCCGAGCTTTAATGCCCCTTGACTTTCCTTCCAGCTGGGGACCGCTGGCTACAATAAATTCATCCTTCTGTCCTTTCCGGCGTTGCATTTAGCAAAGAGGCGCCCCATCGCCTCCCCCTCCCGTTCCCGGTACAACACCCTGGGTGCTGCCAAATTGCAATCATTACAGCAATAGGAATGTAGCAATTGGGCCCTCCAGCCAACTCTTGGCAGAGACCCGACAGAACTTTGGCTGGGAAGATCTGCATCAGCAGTGGGGCCTGTGCCTGGAGCTTCCCGTCCCCAGTTGGGTGCTGCTTTTCCCTCTGCGGTCCCATGACCAGCCCTGCAAGATGACTAGGAGGTTCGCGCTCTGGGGTTTACCCTTACATGCGCAAACTAATCTCAAGACCCTGCAGCTGGTTTGGAAACGGTGTGTCACAGGAATCTACGCAGACACGATAGCTAGCAGCCTCCTTCCTTGGGGTTGCTGATGCTGCTTAAGCTAACAGCTTTTCTGGAAGGTGGAGCAAAACCTTCCACATTTCAGTTGCAGGTGGTCACGTTAGGCTATTAATATATTGCAAATATGGAATAATTGTCCAGTTCTGTATGGAGCATGTATACATTTTGACCCCAGATTTACATCTTTCTGGTTTGAATGTGAAGAATCAGGCTTTTTCTTTTTTCTTCAAGCATTGTGTTATTTTATAATTAGCCTACAACAGGGGAAAATTAGATTACTAAAATATAAAGAGCTGCTCTGACTGTGTCATAAAAACGTAAGATCTAGATCTCCAGAGAAACTCAGCTCGTCTCACATTTCTTTGATGAGCACTTTTAGGATTATGAAATCAAAGGTTATTAAAAATTAGGCAAAAGGAAAATGCGTTCCCTGGCAAGTACAAATTGTGATTAAATAAGATTTTTTTGAGGTAGTTTTTAAAAGCAAAGTGGAGGTTGGGTGTGGGGCAGTATAGGAGTCACGCTGCACTGGGCTGGGAAACATCCAGGGACACATGACTTGGCTGCTTCCTGAGACTCTGGGTGATCTAGGGCCCCACTTTTTTTTTTTAATCAAAAGATAACTATTATTATTCATTGTGTTTTGTCCCAAATTTAGAAGGTCTTAATTATAGAAACGTATATGTCCACTAGTGATGTAACAGTGGATGAAGTTGGGAGAATTTGGCAGTTGCTTACTCTAACGGTTTTTAAGTTTTGAATGCACTTTTTGCAGGAAATGTCCGTTGAGTTGCAAATCTTCAGTTTCCCAGTTTTTAACCACCAGCTCCCTTTTGTTTTTCTCTGGATCCTCTGTCTTGTCAACAAATAAATTAAACAGTAATTTTTTTTATTAGACAAAGAGATGAATTGAGTATTTTAGAAGTAGTAAACATCAATTATAAAATGTTAGCCTTTCAAAAACAGTGCAAGTAATTTAAGAATCCCCTTCACTGCATTCATGATCTCCTCTAAGGCTGCATGCTGTATCAAATACTTATTATAGCATTTTATTAACAGTGAAAGTCCTGATATATCAACAGTGAAAGTTCTTCTCCTCACTTTGGGGCAGGGTAAGGGTGAGGTAGGGAAAAAATTTACTCTGTAAAGATTCTTCACTCATTTTATTTCATTAACTGAGCATTTGGTAATTTACATAAGCCTAGAAATTATAAAGAAATCAGAATAAATAAAACCACCTCCTTCTCCCTTAGATCTGTGCTGTCCAATACTGTATACATTACCTACATGTGGTCATTTACATTTAAATTATGGCTAGATGACCTTTTGGGATAGCACAGAGTGTAACATTTTCATTACTGCAGAACATTCTTTTTCACATCACTATCCTAAATTGAGACTCACATTAATTGGAAGGTAAGCTGTAATACTTAAAATAATTTAGTATATCTTAGTACCTTATAAATCAAAACTCAGTAGAAATTGTATTTCTTAAGAACATGGTAATTTTTAAGAATTCAGGCTCTGGGCTCAGCACCTGTGGCTCAAGGGGCTAAGGTGCCAGCAACATACACCTGAGCTGGCTGGTTCGAATCCAGCCTGGCCTGCCAAACAACAATGATGGCTGCAACCAAAAAATAGCTGTGCATTGTGG